ACACACACACACACACACACACACACACACACACACACACACACACAAACACACAAACATACACACACGCGCGCTGGCGCACGCAAGGAATGAATATTTGAGCAGATTGAACCATCTCTCTACGGCGTTATTCCAAGACGCCGGCATCACATAAGTAGGATATATAACTCGTCATAATTACGCAGACAATTTATTGGCCGCGCGGACATGTGATAGCACCTCGCCGAAGGGGAATGCGTCTAGAATTTATGGCGGCCTATTCAGAGCCTTGCTGCATTACGGCCCCACTTCGTACGCACTCAGCTTTCCTAACAAAGTGTCGCCATAGGAACGGGCAGATGAAAAATCTTACCTGTTGTGTTGCAGTGCACCTTTTTCATCCAGGAGTATATTACAGGTGGACTTTGAGTCGAGTTCTGAGTTTGGTTGTGCGGCGCCGTGGATGAAGCGGACACGGGGCGGCAGGGCCGTGGTTCGGATATCGGGTGCGGTGCTGCGGTGTTCTGTAACTGCCGACCGCTAACGCCATGATGTACGTGCTGAAACTGATCTTGTGTTGATCGTGCCGCTACTCCAGTCGCGCACGGAGGCATGTAAGATGAAGTGCTGATGTAGGCATCGACGTCGTGGTATATCCTATCGCGGTGCTCGTGGTACGTAGCGTAGTCGTGGGCCTGCTGCCCGTAATATCCATCATGTTGACTAGCGACGTAGCTCGTCTGCGAGTATTCGTCCGGAGGTGGAAATTTCGGCTCGGCGTACGGACTCGAGTTCATCAAAAACGAACTCATGATCATTAATTTTTGCCTGAATATCATGGAAATAATTTTTCCTGAGTGTTGTCGTTAGTCAAGTGCTTAGATCCTCCCATGGTCGAGTGTGTGTCTAATCACGTGACGTTTGTCGACCAAGGAGGGCGCTTCGATGTAATTCAGCGCCGATGGTCGTGCGTGTGTGTGTGTGTGCGTGTGTGTGTGTGTGACTGTGTGCGTGTGTGTAGCTGGAGGCAGGCATCGGCAGCATGCAGCGCCGCTCCCTGATACACACTAAACGCGTGGCGATGATACGCCCAGGTAAACCATGTGTGCACTCTACTGCTATGATGATTGCTGCGCGAATAGCGCTTATTATATAAACATTTATTACAGTTATATCGGATTATATGTATATATATATATATATATATATATATATATATATGTGTGTGTGTGTGTTTGTGTGTGTGGGGGTGGGTGTGTGTTGTGTGTGTGTGTGTGTGTGTGTGTGTGTGTGTCTGTGTGTTGGTGTGTGTGTGCGTGTGCGTGTGTGTATGTGTGTGCATGTGTGAGTGCGTGTGTGAGTGCATGCGTGCCGTGCGTGCCGTGCGGCGTGTTGCGTGTGATGTGTATGGAGGCGTTCGTGTGAGTCGTATGCTCTGTATGGTTGAAGAGCTCTATCGAGCGTTGTTTGCTGTGCGCGTGGACTATGAAGTCTATGTTATACACAAGAGATATGTATGCATACATGACGAGCAATATTCAATATAAGTAAGAAATTGTTAATAGACTTTTATGTAAAATTGATAGAATTCATAAAAATTATGATAAATTATTTGCAAGATTACTAAATCTTAAAATTGTTCTTTATGGCTGAATTTATGTTTTAGCTGCAACGATGTACTAAAATATATTATTCATTTTAAAGCAATTCTTAATTGATTTCTAAGGTTGTATAAGTTATCATTTCTTGATTGCGATGTAACTTGAGAAAGTAATAAATGCAGCTAAATACAACTGATGTCAATCGCGTCCTCTACTATTTTCATCTAGTCTAAATAATAGACTGGTACTGTTTTACCTTCTTGTTTACATGTTCACTTGCCATATAGAGAGAATGAAACCTGCGTGATAGGCCCATTGATGTTTACAAAACAATAAAATATTAAATTCGTGATTCTATTGGTGGTGGTAATAATGGTGGTCGTGGTTAGTGGTTAGTAGAGGTGGTGATGGTAGTGTGTTAGGTGGTGTCTGAGTGTTGTTGTCGTTGGTGGTGGTGCGTGGTAGATAGTGGTGGTAGTGCGTTTGGTGCGAGTGGTTGGTGTGTGGTGTAGTGGTGTGGTGGGCGTGTGGCAGTGCTTGGTAATGTATCTATGTTATCTGGTAGTGTTTCTATCTATTATTACTGATCATTGCATCTGCCACTGTGGTGATCGCTAATCATACTGTTACTCATACTGTGGCATGTTGTCGCATCAGGCCATTGATGTATGTATGTACTATCGCTCTACCTGAGGTCTGCATGATGATATGGTAATGTCATGACAATAGTTGTCTGTGAGCATGCGTAGCTCATGCAGTACCTTTTCCTAGCACACTTGGCACAATAGCAGTTTGATGTAATGCATCATTGTATGTATTTTTGTCAGGTTTTGTGAGCGATTCTAGTGAGTAGCTAGCGTATGTAGTTAAGTACACGATATATGTATATGTATAGTTTGTGATTCATGATTCAAATTGGTCGATCGATAATGAGCCTAAATGTATGGAATATATACAATTGCGTAATTTTATGTTATTGTTAATGTTGATGCTACGCATCGAATACCATACCTAGTATGTGTAGTTAAAAATGTATGTTAATATATTGTATGATCTAGTATTATTGTTGTGTACAATGTTGCTAATCGATATGTAATACACATTACATTAATTGTGAGTGCTCGAATTCACTATTTAATCCGTAATGTAATGTATGACGTAAGGATTAGTAAATTTAAACTGATACTTTAATGTAAAGTACTTTCTGGTAGCGATAATGTAAAGGCAGGATGTATGTATGTATCCGAGTCGATGTTTAGTTTCATGACAAGTGTACCTGTTACTGTTATTGGATCTCAATATTTATGTATGTTACACTGCATAGCCTGAATATGTATCGCTATGTAATGTATGTATGGCACATGTTAGTGCATAATGCTAGTGTAAATGAGTAGGTGATTAGTAACTTGTATGTCACTGTCTGGTAATGGTATGAATTGTTAAATCTCCAAGCATAATGTAAATGTATTGTCATGATAGTCCACGACTCAAAATGTAATTTAAAGTAAAGTGTCATGGTAAATGTTAATGTGCTCCTTAATTCATGATGGCTGCACGAAGAGCAGCATGTGCGGTGCAGACTCTCTGCTTGCGCTTGTTTCTTTTTGAATAGGTGCCACCTGACGTCTGCAACAGTGGTGAGGTCTATCTTCGGGAGGTACAGTTTGCTCGACATAGGCGTTCGAGAAGATCCATTCTGTGCCGCTCAAGACGGGTTTGCATTGTACCGAGCTGCCCAAATGCCTGCCATCACGCTGGATCCATATCCACAAAGACTTTCCAGGCACTTTCTCTTGCTCATTCCTGAAAATCGCCCCAGTGATGTCTGCACCACTGAACGCATGAAAGCCAGGGAGTGCTTGCGACGGGTGCTCGAACCCAACCGCATCAAAGATTGTTGAAGTGAAATGCTTCGACGCTCTGCAAACCTGTTTCCGGTTAAAAAGTGAACATTTCGACACAGCTCTGGGTATCGCCTGAGCGCCAGATACAAGGACATCCGTATCTCTTGAGAGTGGATGCTGATGGACGTAGGCACCTGCAGAGGTACCTCCTGGCGTGAAGTATCAGTTTGGTGTCAGCTTCTTCCTGAACTACTGGCCAGGATGAGAAACGTTCGATGGTTGCCCTTCGCTTGGGTCACGCCATGCCACAATAAGATGTTTCTCCTGAGTCAGTTCATGCTCTGAGTATATTTAATGGCCATGTTGAACGGGTTGTTAGCTCATTTCCTTAGTTTCACGATCTGCGAAGTGAGCTCTGCATCGAGACGCCATTGTGATGATCCTGAAGAATCCTGCTATATGATAGGCCTGACAGAGACAGCTTTAGCCAAAAGTCTTTTCAGTCTTGTAGCTGACTTCATGGACGCGTTGCGATACTCATATTGGTCGAAGAGTGCACATGAACTTGGCGGCCATAACTTTCGGAATTCTGAAGTTTCTTGAGTTCAGAGTTTTCTTGAGTCAAAAACTTTGTCGTCAACTGCTAACTTTTACTTTCGGCGCCTCGTTGTGGACCACATTTTGAGTTCAGCTTTTTTAATTGGTGCCCTACAGATTTTAACCTGTTGTTTTGGTAATTCTTTCATGCTAGATCATGAATATGTTATGATAATGTAATATAAAGTGCTGAGAGCTATGGTAAATTTATGTATGTATGAACTCGAAATTGTATTTCGTGTCAATGGTGAACATAGTTTATTGGTATATATTATATTCTTATTGTTGAATGTATAGTGCGATACTGTGTTCTAATAGTGTAATGTATGTATGTATGTATGTATGGCATATGTATGTATCATACGACTATGTAGCGTTCGTAAATCGCTAATGGATATTGTATTACTAAGCTTATAGTATGTATGTATTGCTAAGTCTTATGTATGCTTTAGTAGTAGAATGAAATGTTGATAGAGAATTTGAGTGTTGATACTGGGTTATTGACATGTATGTAATGAGATATCTATTTTGTGAGCCCCGATGCAAGTGCTACTTGTGGTTAGTAAGTAGCTCAAAGCGACTTTTTTGTGTGCACGTTATCTTAATGCGTGCCAATGGATATGGTCATATGGTTGATGTATATATGTATGCTGAGTGTATATTGTGTATGTGTCAGCAAAAGTTACAGTTAATGTAATGTACTTGCGGCTATTTCCTGTGACTAGTTTCGCATGGCGTGAGTGAGGTTCTTGATGGCATTGCAATTTAATAAGAAACTGTGCTCTTTAATGTATGTGACGTTGGTGGAGTGGTATATGTGTGATGCCAATACTCGTGATATGCTCCGAGTACGTAACCTCGGTTCGATTAAACGATTTGACTATTGCTTAACTATGCGCTTCGGTGTGATGTATGCATTGTAACGTTGAGTGTATCAGTTGTAAGGGGAGATTGAGTTGTCGTAAAGCTATGTGCCAGATATTGTGACTATGTGAAGTTGAGTGTTGAGTCCAGGGATTAGTAATAAAAATTTAATGTATGATTATGTATGGAATCCATTCGAAGGCGATCGAACCGATGTACCGTAAGAATGCCTCTTAAACACCACACAGCTTGTTTGTATTGTACAAAATATACTTGTTGTTGGCAAATTGTTAATAAAGTGGACAAGCTATGATTGTAAAATACTTGTTATGAACTCTTTGAAGCCGGCAGAAAGTTTGAACGATAATATAGAAAATCAGCGATCCGAAAACAACTCTGCTATAATTTACAAACATCAAAAAATGAAAGTAAATAACCATAAATACCTACTACATAACATATTTAATAAAACCAAACTAGCGCAATCAGTAACATGTGATATCCAATAAATCTATACCATGAACCCATACAATTAGCAATAACAATAAACATAAACCCAGTAGCATACATACATACATAGACCTACATAACCATACCAGAGAATTTGCTCACAGATTCGAGCTATTAACATAGGCATGACAATACCATAGCAGTAGCATAATCCATACCATAACAGTACATTTGTGAGATAACCATAACTATAATAAACATAACACTATACATAGCACATACAATACCAGAGTATCTCATATAAAGACAATGTTTTGAGTCCTTTAATTAATCTTCCTAGTAATCGATATCATACCAATACTATACACTATATCAAATTACTAATCAAAATAACACTCACTACATACATACATACAATTATGGAATCAATATCTATTATGAGACACGTTATATATA